TGAACTTTCTCTCCTTTCATGTCTCTGGATGTCTCTATGTTGATGATATATGGAGATTTTTGGCGATGGAGTTTTGGTTAGGTAGTTATCAACAAAATCTGGAATATAGAATGGATAATGGATGGTTTAGTCATGTATCTAGCACATTCGTTTTTCACATTCAGAGCATATATGCAGTTGGTTTCTAGAGAATGCAACAAGAAGGATTGCTTGTTTCTCATTTATGACCTCTGCAAGTTCACAAAATTCTGATTCATTGTTGAGTCATCTAATGCTTGTTATGGTGTTGTTCACAAACTGTGTATGATTTCATAAAGTAGTTTTAGACATCAACATCTTTCAAGACAGAGGGAGAATCTTAAGTTTGCTAATGAAATAAGCTGCTTAGACCTTTGTGAAGTTGATTTATGTGACCTTCTACACTTGGAATCTCTGGTTTGCGATGTTGGTAAGAAGATGTTCATGAGCTTCAGAAGATTGCGTATGATAGCTGATGTTTTTGATGGCTTTCATGCCACTATAAAGGCTGTTATGGTTCAACATTTAAGCCTCTTTGTCAAGCTAGACGCTTGCTGTTTTGAGGAGTTGTTGACCTTTGTTATTGAGAGAATATTTGAGTTTCACTCTTGTGTTAGAACATATGGAAGACTAATGGAACGAAACTATTCATTAAGTGGTAGATTTCTTCAGTTTCATTTCCATGTTAAAGCACATATGGGGCAAATGGAATGGAGGTCTCCATTAGTTCATGTTATGGATGTCATGTTGATGTCTTGTTTGCAAAAGGGGAATGGTCCTTCTTCAAAATGGTTAGATCTACATGTCTGACTTGGTTCACAGAGTTGTGTTTCAAGACAAGAGATTTGGCCAAGTTTGATTCATGAAGTTACCTGTAGTTTTGCTGAAAAGGGATTGTGTTTCAAGCACGATATGCTTGGCGGGTTGCAATGCTTTCTGTACGTGAAGTCACAGATTCAAGCCGATGTTGTGTTTGCCTTGTGTGCAACACCAAAGCTGCTACTGACACAGAGTATGCTATCGTCACATATAAGGTGCTTTCCCACTCTCTTGTTCATCACGTGGAACCAAGCCTTCTTTCGATTGTATCGAGATTGTTGGGTGGCGTCTTATGAGTTGATGCTGCCACATATTTTTCTTTTG